TTTGCTTTTATGTGGCAAGCACAATAATCATACCGAGTTTGGTATATATTGGTAGAGTGGTTACTGAGATACATATATGTGATCATAAGTGGGCGGTGCCACACCCATTTTCCAAAATTTTACCATACACATATTTCTTGGTAACGAATTGTTGCAAGCATCAATTTTGAATAAATTAGCTTTAATATTTACTGATTTATAGAAGATTTTGTATTTCTCGAAATTACCGTTATATGGGATGTGGGCGTGGTTATTGTCCGATTTTTTAAATTTTCTGCCATTTAGTATGCTGTACCAAGGCCAACAACTGTTCCAAGTTTGGAAGAAATTGGTGCAGCGGTTACCAAGATATACACATGTAACCATAAGTGGGCGTGGCTACGCCCATTTTCCAAAAATTTATAATATTCTTATTTTTCGTCTGAAAATTATTGTAAATATCAATTTTGAGTGAATTATCTTCAGTATTTACTAAAATATCGCAGTTTTCGTATTTCTGGAAATTACCGTTATATTGTCAAGTGGGTTACATACGTGGTTACAGTCCGATTTCGCCCATTTTCAATGAAAACCTACCTTGGATTAATGGAAACCTACATACCAAATTTCGTTGAGATATCTCAATTTTTGCTCGAGTTATCGTGTACACGGACGGACGGACAGACGGACGGACAGACAGACATGGCTTAATCGACTTCTCTATTCATTCTGAGCATTTATGTATACATTTGTCTATATCTATCTCGATTCGTTTTGGCTGTTACAAACAACCGTTATGTGAACAAAATTAATATACCCTTGTGCACAAGTGCGCTTGGGTATAAAAAGTTTTTTATTAAATTTCTGGATCATGAAAAATGTTACAAAGGATATGTTGATTGCAGTCAGGATATAACCTTCCTGTGGTCTTGTACGCAACGCAACAAATATTGTTTTTGTTCCTCCTCAACTGTGATCAATCCGTGAAAGTCCTGCATTAATTTTGCTTTTTTAACAAATTCTTTTTCTCCTTTAAAAAAATGCATTTTATAATATTAAATAAACAAAATAAAGTGTTTTAGTGTTTGACATGTCCTCTCGGGTTGATTAAAGAATAAACGTGGAAGTATTAATTAGAAAATTTGAAAAATATCCTTTGAAATTTNCTCCTTTAAAAAAATGCATTTCATAATATTAAATAAACAAAATAAAGTGTTTTAGTGTTTGACATGTCCTCTCGGGTTGATTAAAGAATAAACGTGGAAGTATTAATTAGAAAATTTGAAAAATATCCTTTGAAATTTTTATCCTTTAGTATCCTAATAATTATTAACCCTAGAACACACACCCAGAAAATACCACGTAAACACACACCCGGGATACGTTTGTACCCGGGACCTTATTTTGCGGTTTTTTTAATGCTTATTCAACCGATTTCTATGATTTTTTTTTGAAATGTATAT